CAAGAGGGACAACGAGGGGCCGCAGCTGCTGTATGTAGAGACGGAGGAGGAAACTACATGGGGAGTGCAGCACTAGTAATTGAAGGAGTTCATGACCCAGCAACACTTGAAGCAATAGCTTGCCGAGAAGTTCTCTCCCTAGCAGAAGACCTGGGCATACAACAATTTGTGGTGGCCTCTGATTGTCAGCGGGTTGTCTCTGATATCTCCGGAGGTTCACGGGGTGCTTATGGTGCAATTGTTACTGAAATAAACGTTAGAGCTGCTACGTTTATTTGTAATTTTTTGTTTGAGTCTCGTGCCGTTAATCATGAGGCACATAGTCTAACCAAGTTTGCGATATCTAGAGGTCCGGATCGCGTTGGGATCACCCCATGACCAATGATGTATCCCACTTCGTGTGGTTTTTGCTGAATGAACTTGGTTGTCCCTAAAAAAAAAACATGAGCTTTGCTACACGCACGGAGTTTTATCACGGACTTTTACAGGATCATTTTTGCCCCCCACATCCAGTCAGACGACAGCATGACCCGCCGCCGCCGCGCCCGCCCCGCCCCGCCACCGGCGGCGCTGGAAGACGACGACCTCCTGCGGAAGATTTTCCTCCTCCTCCCGCCTCAGCCCTCCACCCTTCCCTGCGTCTCCGTCGTCTGCAAGCAGTGGCGCGACGTCGTCACCGACCCCCAATTCCTCCGCGGCTTCCGCGACCAACACCGGAGACCTCCGCTCCTCGGCCTCGTCATGGGCCACACCGCGTCGCCCTACTTCAGGTCCGATCTCAACCCTCCAGACCACATCCCGCACGAGCGCTTCTTCCCTCGAGACATCCGCAGCATGAACATGGACATATTCGACTGCCGCCATGGGCGCGTCGTCTTCTTCGCCCAACGGCTGGGCGAGGTCGTGCTGTTTGACCCCGCCACGGGAGGCCGCCGTTGTGTGGTCGTTCCACCAGTGTTTCACGGAAAGGAGATTGGCGTCTTCAACGCCGCCGTGATTTGCGTTTCCGGCGACGAAGGCCACGTGCACGGCGATTGCCACGCCAGTCCATTTCAGGTGGTCTTGATGGGCATCAGTGACGACTATAAACAAGCTTTCGCCTCTGTCTACTCATCGGAGTCTGGCATATGGGGTGATATCATCTCCATAGAGAATCGTGAGATGTATGATTTGAAGCAACCCAGTACACTTATTGGAAATGCCCTTTACTGGTTGTTTCCTGGAGATGATGGGGAAGGCATACTGGAGTTTGATTTGGGTAGGCAGAGCCTAGCCAATATCGAGATGCCGCAAGGTCTGGTGTACTATAGTCCTCGCAGCCTTCAGGTCATGGTAGCAGACGGTGGCTGTGTCGGCCTCGCCATTCTGTCATGCTATAGATTCGAAATGTGGGAGAGGAAGGTCAGTTGTGATGATGGTGTTGCTGGATGGGTGTTGCAGAAGACCGTTCAACTGAACACGATCCTTGGATTGGGGCCTATGGGGGGACTGGACAATTTACTAATGGGATATGATGAAGTTGATCATGTGATTTATATAAGGACGGACATTGGTTTCTACATGGTTCGACTTGAGTCGATGCAGTTCAGGAACCTCGGCAAAGACAATTTCAGCAATACTTCCTATCTTCCCTACAGAAGTTTCTATACTGCAGGTAGTTCTCTGTCTTTACATTGGAGGCAGATAAAAATATTGAATTAGTTTTAGTAGTGCTTGTTTCCTGGAATAATGTCATAGTAGTACTGAAGTGTTTGTGTAACTGCTTAACTCTACTTGTCGTATTCATATTCTCTTTGATATTAGTGAAGACTGGACTATTGTCATGTTCAGAGAATGCAGATAGATTTAACTAATTTTATTCCATGACTGGATGTAAAACCATTACGGGACTTGGCAAAACTTCCACTGTTTAGTCATTGTGCTTTCTATTATTCTCCGCTCGTTTCGTATCCTATGGAATCAGGAAGAGGTCCACTTATTATTAGATGATTTTCTGTGTATCAATTGTTAAAACTAGTGTGTTTTCTGTTTGTGTTTTTTGTCATTTTCCGCATCTTTCCTATCTTGTGGCATTAGGCTGAGGATTATAAGTTCTTGTTTACTGACTAGTTAGTGTGTGTGTGCCGAGAAAATGTAAAAACGTGAGGCTAGGTGATGAAACAATGTTCTTGCAACACTTTCAGTTTTGGATGTTCAATTCCCCCTTCGCTGCTTTTAGTTCTTACAGTTATTCTGTTAAAAGTAGTACTTTTTCCCACAATATCACACCAACGACCATTTATCATTTGTCTGTGCAACAAACTCATCTGTCACCTACTCACACTAACACTCAAGACAAGAGTATAGGGTCTGAGTTCATCTTCTTTGCTTGTTTTCTCAGTCTCTTGGTCTTCCCTCTTGTCCCCCCTTTTTTTTCTATTTTCCCATTTCTGATGATATCACTTCTCTGTGCTAGTGAGTGACTTGGCAGTATGCGAGAGGACTGGTGAACTCTTTGCACCTCTTGCAAATGATTACCTCCTTGCTTCATGGGGTGTAGAAGCAGTAGGAGGTAACGAAGCAGCTACCTTGAGTGAAACCTCACCGGAAGGAGGTAACGTACATGTATCTTGGAATTTATGGGTCTGTAATCCTTTATACATCGGAGATTTGGACTTTGGTAGGTCGATTAGTAACTGAATTGTGGGTTGCTGTTAGCAATGTCGTTAATTTGAAATATGATTTCACCTGCTGCTCTGCTAGTTACTGATTTGTTATTACCTCATTCCTGTCAAACTTTTTACAATAAAAATAAAATAAAATAAAATAACAGGTTTGTGTGTGCCAATTTCATTACTAAGTTTCCAAGCGGGGGTTTGGAATGCATGGATATTGTGGGTTGGTCTGACTTGGGGTTTGACTCTTTCATTCTCTTCTCGCCCTGCAGGTACGGTCGGCATGTCAAAGCACATAGATCAAGGAAAGGATGCAGATCCTGCGCCTAGCCGGGCACTAAAACAAACACGAATTGACGTGATATTCAAGAAGGAGACCGAGACAAGATCAAAGCTTAGCAAAGCTTGGGCAAAATGGTTTCGGAGCAATGGCGTTCCTGCAAATAAAGCAGACTGCCCACACTTCTGTAGTGCCTTGAAGCTAACACAACAACTAGGTACCCGCCTCGTTGCTCCTACAGGCAACGAAATAGACAGTGCAAATCTGGACGCCAGTGATGAAGAACTACCATAAGTATGTAAGGTGAACTGCTTGAGGATATGGGAGGGCTAACTACTTTATATCATGTTTGGACAAACGGCTTGTGACTTTGAACTGATGATCCATGCTTTTGTTTCTGTAAGTTGGGTGTAGGGCTAGTTGAGTACTGCCTCATGAAGTGTACCGAATCCTTTTGACCCTTGTTCCTCACGAAGATGCGAGCTCGTTTCTGTTATTTTCTTTGCTAAGTTGACTAGATTTGTAATAAGATCCTTGTTTCTGTCTATTATGCTATGAGTGTCCTCTCCTCTTCCTCTAAAGGATGCAGTATAGGATGCCTGCATTGTTAGAAACTTGTGGTGTTGGTGGTCAGGTCAGAGCTAAGTATTCCGTAGTTGACAGCTAGTAACGCAACATGGTTTATCAATTTTGTTTGATTGTTTTGCATCATTTTTTAACCACCCTACTTTTGATGTTAGAAAACTTCTTCCTGTTCCCCAACTACACATGACAATCTTCAATTTTCGGTGACCAATCCAATGGCGGTTTACTGCAAAAATCAAGCGGCATGACAAATCGACAAGAGATCGATGGCTGATGAGAGCGAAGATCGTTCCCTAGACAGAGCTCCATGATTGGCACATTTCCAGGCCGTGCAAGAAGCTTGAGCTTTTCTGTGAAGAGTACACCCCAAGCCTGGCCGGTGTGATATATTGCCCACTAACCAATCAACCTTTCCAATAATCACACCCTTGAATCCACAATTCCACACACAGTGGAATCTACCTTTGCTTGCGCTACTCCGCCGTCTCTTCCAACATATCGCGCGGAATCATTAGCGCCTTTCGACGCCTCTATCAGGCTAGAAAGTCAAGTTGTTTAGCCACACTTTATGGCCGTTTTTAAGTTGGTGGTTGCCTGCTCACCCGGTCAAAAAACCGCCCATCTGGAGCCCCTATCTTTCAGAATCCTCTCATGGCTAATCTTAGCAACACTGCACTGGCTGCCGGAGCAGTCAGGCAGATCTGGATCCGTGTATGCTGAGTGCTAAACAAAGGTTGGTTGAGAGTTGAGACTTGGGTGGTTGCAACGCATGCAGCAGAGAAGCCGAGGGCCTCTGCTGAAGTGTGTAGGTTATGGTTCACACATCAGAGGAGCCACAATTAGAAGACGTTGGCTGCACACCTGACCTGACCTCCCATGGTCGGTCATGCCCTATTTTCATGGAGTATCTTCTGAATTGTTCTCTGTAATAATAACCGTAAGGAAGTCGCTGCCATGACATCTTTGTAGCGTTAGATACTAATACATGCTATGCATATCTTTCTCACAAGTTGGAGTGTGACCTGATCCTTTGGCTATAGGTGCAGTGCAACTGTGCAGGTGCCTGCGACAGCTCATCCATTGGCTCATTCCTTTCTAGGCCTTTGCCTTGTGGCCTTGTGGCGCCTGCTATTCCAAGGATGGAGTTCAAGACCTGATCAAGGGCTGTGCTGTTTGGCTTCAAGTCAATTTGGAACTGCCAATTGTGTGATCTTGGTATTATTTTTTTCCCTGCTGGTGCAAAGCAGGCAGAAATGGAGGCTGGGGGATTTGGCTAATGCAGGTTGCTGGCGGTTCACTAGAGAAATAGGGTCTGCATGTAACTCTATATCTAACTTAAGATTCCTCTAATAATTAGAAAGCTTGCACCCGAGGAGTTTGCTTATGGCTGACGGTATGAGCTCCATGTCCATATTATGGAACCCACCTATCCCTATTCGGCTACTTCCGTTACTTAAAACGTGAATACAAAGACGAACAACCAGGGGGTGGGGTGACGGGAAATGCAGAGGCGAGTTGGGTCCTCATCAGAAAACCCGCTACGGACCACCGAAGACCTGTTGACAGTAGTATAAACAAGCTATAGGGCACATCAACTGGAGTAGTAGTATATCTTCAGAGAGTTCACTTGTTAATTTATCAGTTCACAAGCCGATTGGCTTCCAATCCGATAGATAATCGTGGTCAGTCCAGGACATCATCCTTCCAATTCTGGCACCATAAAGAAACAAAGGAACGCTGCATCGAGAGCTCCACCAAGTAGAGCAGGACGGATGAAGCAGCACAGGATTGTGGTCCTGTCTGATTGGCACGCAATGCATTTTCTCTTGATTAAAAGAGGGTGCAAATCACATGAATGAAGCAACATTCTTCTTCTTAGCCATCAAGCATGCATCAATCACAACGTTTTCGCTCGCCTTTTCGCAACCAACCTTCGACCGATCACCATTTTTCTTTCTCTTAACAAGGGAAGAGATAGCGGCCGTCGCGCACACCGACAGTTTACTGAAAATTCATCCCAGAAATGAAAAGATGTATATGTTACATAGCCTGTTATTCGAACGCCAGCCATACCGGACCTACAAAAACAAAAGCATAGTTCTTCTAAGGCACACTTGAGTAGTACAAGTAGTAGTTTACTCAGCCGAAGCAAGGGATATGCCGCTGCATTTGCCCAGCAACACGGTGGATGGATGTGACCCGAAGAAGTATGTCCAAGCAGGGCTCAAACAAGAGAAGAATCAAAGAACCCCAACCTGAGACGACGGCCTGCAGCGCAGGCGGCAGCTAGCCAGTTCTCAGCTTCGTACTAATGCTTGGATTTTATTTTTTGCAGGAGAGGCGATGGGCACATCAAGCTTGCCTCGCAGAGAGACTAACCTCTAGCTGGTAAACAAACCAGTTCAGCAAAGGCAGGCGAGAAAGGGACACGAACAACACAACGTTTGCGTGAGCTGTCTGCGCCCGCCTGCCTGCCCTCTCTCTCTAGAGAGAGAGAGAGAAAGCGAGGGCGAAGATGGCATGATTAGCACTAATCTTTAACTATTTTGGCCGCTGCAGGCTTGCAAAAGCAACAGCAGGACAGTGGCTCGGCTAAGCTAGCTAGAACGAAGGGAGAGTGAGAAGCAAGGCTCGTCCTGCATCGATACCACATGCCACCACGCACACATGCATGCTTGCTCCTCATAAACATTTGTTGCTCCACTGTGCTAGCCAATCATTTCATCAGTACAGTGTGTTTTAGCTTATGAGCTTCCATCGCTCTGAAGAACTGCATTCTTTCATGCACACTGCATTGTTGAGGCCGGCTGGGGTCCAGTGCAATGCTCTTGCATTGTTGGGAAAACTTGCTTGATGGCTTAGCTTCTCCTGGCTGGCTGATTGTCACCCTGTCAGTCAGTGGAACGGCTGAGTGCTGCTGCTGTACTAAGCAGGCAGCGACTGAAGCAAAGCGGTTGGTTGGTTGCTTGGTTGCTGGTGATCTCAGTCAGTCGGTCGGTCAGGTCAGTGCAGCAAAAGTAGGAGCTGGGCAAAGGTTAGCATTGACCCAGGAATTCACGGGGGTTCAGTACTTCAGTTACCACCACCACCACATGGGCAGCAATTAGCAAAGCTTAACAGCAAGGCTAAAAATAACACTGAATGCGTATGACCAAATCTCCATCCATCCAGAAAAGAAATAGAAGGAAGGAAATAAACTATGACGACCCGATGATAATAATAAAATAAAAGGAATAGCATTTGAGTTCATCTTTGTTGGCCACTAACTCGCAGGCCGGCTTATTAATCCTGTCCATCCGGAGATGAAATCAAAAAAGGAATGCAGCGAAAACAAAAAAAAGAAATGTATTCTTTCTTTCTTTCTTTCTTTTTTCCTAATCAAGAACCTTAATGCCGAGATCGATGGCTTCTCTGAACTCTGAACTCTTCTTCTTGGGTTTCTTTCTTGGAAGATTCTCTCTCTACCTTCGAGCTTGGAGCTGGAGCTAGCGTCGCTTGGAAAGAATGACGGAAACGAATCGAATCAATCTGTACACATCCCCCATTGATGGCCTCGGTTTGCGGATCGAGCTTTTGCTTCTGGCTGGCTCTCGCTGCGGCGGGTCGGGCGCTCGGGCTCAGGCCTCCTCCGACGGAGCCGGCGGGAAGTTGAGGTCCAGCGACCCCGCCGCCGCCACCGGGTACCCCTGCTCCTGCTCCTCGTTCACGCTCACGCTCGCGCTGCCGTAGAGCTCGCCGTCCGAGGAGAAGGCGGCGTCGGCGATTATGTGGGACCGCTTGTGCCCGCCCAGCGCCTGCCCCGACCCGAACACCCTGAAGCAGACCGGGCACTCGAACTTCTCCGCCTCGCCGGCGGCTGGCTTCTTGCTGCTGCCGGCGCCAATGCCGATGGCCACCGAGTCCGGCGAGGCCGACGGGGACAGGGTGCCGAACGAGGTGTAGGTGTCCACGCTCGGCTCCGGCGCGGGGGCGGCGGCGGGCGCGGCCTTGGGGGCGCTGCAGCTGGTGTTGATCCGCTTGTGGCTCGCGCGGTGCCCGCCCAGCGCCTGGTAGGAGCTGAACACCCTGCCGCACCCCGGGCACTCGTAGCGGGTGCGCTTCGCCGGCGGCGGCGCCGCCTCGCCCCGCTGCTTCGGCGAGGCGGAGTTGAGCGCGTAATGGCTGGTCCTTCGCTTCTTGCTCTTGGCCACGCTCTTGGTCTTGGCGTCGCCGTACTGGAACAGAGCCGAGTCGTCGTCGGAGTTGTAGCCGTAGCCGTTCCTCGGGAGGTGCGCCTGCTTCGGCGCCGGCGAACCCCGCATGCCACCGGTGGTGTCGCGCGAGAGCATCAGGAGGCAGAGCGCGACGTCCTCCTGCTCCTTCTCGAACGCGCTCAGCATCGGCGGCGGCGGCGCGGGGGCCGGCGCCGCCACGCGCATGGACCTGCGCCTCCGCCTTGGCGGCGCGGCCATCACAGCCACCGGCGCCGGCACCAGCGGTTCCATCGGCGCCGGCTCCATCTCCTCTTCCTCCTCCTCCTCCTCCTTCTCCGCCTCCGCCTCCGCCTCCGCGGCGAAGGAGTACTCCTCCTCTCCAAGCAGGTCCACGTCGCCGTCGGCCTCGTCGTACTCATCGTGATCCCTGGCGGCGCCGGGCGCATGGCTCTTCATGTGGCCGAACAGCGATCGCCACGACGAGAACAGCTTGCCGCACTCCCGGCAGGCCCTCTGCGCGCCTCCGTCGCCGCCCTGGTCCTCCTCCTCGTCGGCGAAGTCGGACAGCCGGCGCGTCTTCTTGGGGTTCTCCCGGAGCCCGTAGCCGACGGCGCCATTGGCGCTGGCGCGGCCGCCGTTGGCGGAGGAGCGCCTAATCAGCTCGTCGTCGGCCTCCGGAAGCGCCTCGCCGAGCGAGATGTGGGAGCGCATGTGGCCGCCCAGCGAGCGGCCGCACGAGAAGCCCTTCCCGCACACCTTGCACCTGTGGTGGTGGTGGTGATGGTGGTGGTGCATCCCCGCAGCAGCAAGCTCCCCCACGGCGTCCATGATCGACCGGCCAAGAAGCAGCGATGCGGTGTCGATCGGATCGATCAGGAGGAGAGTGGGGAGGGGGAGGGGCCGCCTGGGGGAGGATCTGAGGCGGCGGGCGCGACCATTGGGGATCTGGGGGGAGAGCGAATGAAGCTTGGGAGAGCTGAAAGAGTAGAGGGGAGGAAAGGTAGGGTGGTGTGGTTAAGCGGAAGGCGAAGCTAGCGGAGGTCGTGATCGATCGGAGGTTTTGTTGGAGCGATGGGTGCGGTTGAGGGGGAGGAGGAGAAATCCATGCATGGAAGCAAACTTCTTTTCTTTTTTCTTTTAAACAAAACAAACAAACTGACACCCCCCAACCCCATACCCACACCCACCCAGAGAGAGAGCCGTCGTGGAGGCCGCCACGTGGACTTGATGACCTGTCGAGTCCAGATGTGCCGGTCAAACATTTCTTTTTGATATAGCTCACTATTCATGCCGAATATTTGTTTCAATTCATGACTCTATATATGAATATTTGTTTCAAAGATTTTCTTGCTTAGTAGCAGCACCAGCGATTAATAGGTTTCGTTTTATTCTGAACTAGTCGTTGCCGATTGTAATCCTGTGAATCTGTAATAAATACCCTACTTTTCATTGCAAAAAAAAAATCATTTTATTCGGATAGCCTACACAATTCTTCGGGCTGGAAGGAACAGAGCAAATTGACATTGTGAAGTGTTGATGGTCAATTTGAAAGGAAAAAAAACGTAGATGGTCTCACTTGCACATAAAGTGGTGTTGCAAGGATGAAATTATAGCGATGCGTATAGCTTGTAAATGTTTTTTTAGGGGAAGCTTGTAAATGTTTTGTTGTGTAATGCATTGTTATATCTACAACCATCATCACATAATGATTTGAGCTTGAGCGAGTTTCTTTAGCCAGGAGAAATGAAGACCGCCACAAGGACTTCGACGACGAATCAAGCTAGCCAGGAAAAATACAAATGGTGTTAATTTACTGGCTTTACCCAGCGAGTAATAGCAGTGAGGTTCCTTCTTCTTTTGGTGTGTAATAACTGCTATAAGCAACGTGTAGACATCCTGTCACAACAAAATGAGCATTGGTTGCAAGGATTTTCTATTACAACTAGTAGCACCAACAATTAAGTCTTGTCATTGAACAGAACATCTCTGTTCCTGGCAGCACGCTCGGACGGGAGACTGAGCTGGCTGTCATGGCAAGCAGGCAGGAATAGAATTTGCTCCTGGGGTATGCATGAGCTCTACACCAACTGCGCCAATCCTTACCACAAAGACCGATGAAGTGCACGCTAGAAACAAGAATAGAGAGGCTAGGCTAAAAGCGAAGAGAGACAAGGATTGCGTAAATGGAGGGAGAGACCTCCATCTCGAGAAAACGTGGTGCATGTACTGTAGGAGATGAGTTAGGTTCAGAGAGTGAGCATGTAGAAGGGGAAAGATGAAAAAACAAAAGAAAGAGAGAGGGGGACAAAGAAGGGAAGGAAGAAGACAAAGGAGACGAGGGAAAGAAGGAAGCTACCGACCCTGGGCAGCCATGTGTTGGAAATATGAGCAATTCACCATATGATTTTATTAACAAAAATAGTAGATTAAACATAACTATCATAGCAGAGATAAGATAAGTCATGCAATTCGACAGAGAGTATGCAAATGGCATATGAAGTAGTGAATATGAATAGAACATATCTAGAATAGAAGCTATAACAAGAAACTTCAAACAGAAAGAACACGAAGACATACTGAGCTGCAACAAAGGTGTTGGGGTTGACGTCCTTGCCGGCCATGTCGTCGAAGAGGTTGTCGACGTCGGGGAAGAAGTCATTGTTTGGTAAGTGGTCGTCGGCGTCCGTGGCTTCCGTGATGAAGAAGTCAGTAGTCACGCATAGCTCTCCCCAAAAACCCTATCAGCTTTCTCCCGTACAGGACTCAAAGTGGAGGGGTTTCGGAGGCCTGTTGTCCGGACATGCGGTGCACGCCGCAAGCTGATACGGGGAAGGACCTAGCAGTAGCTCAGAGTTTGGAACTCGGTGGCGAGAGGAAGATGATGTTCTGGTGTGTCTCTCTGGAGAGGAGTGACCTCTCTTTTATAGGCATAGGAGGAGGCGAACGGGCGGTGACGGGAGGTGAAACAAAGAGAGGGAGACAAAGCGAACAACCAGCAGCCAAACGGATGCACCGTTCGCATTCAATCTTCACTATAGCAAAAACTTTTCAGCTTCCGTGTGACCTTACGTATACCAATCGTGCGCAACAAAAACTTAGACAATGGCTTGGCTCATTCCCTCAACCCGCGGCGCGTCGTGACGAGGCGTGGCGTGGCAAGACAGGCGGTAGAGGAGCGCACGCGAATGTCTCTCTTATTCTCATGCTCATACATGTGGGGAAACATCCTTCCTTATAAGGAGGTCCAACTCCTACCATACTAGTAATGTGGGGGTAAACTTTAGTCCCACCTCTTGCCTTGCACGAATGGGCTAAATGGGCCTCTACGATTTATTAGAAATTCTGAAATGGCTATTGTACTGGCCCAAATTAAAAAGACCAAATTCCAGCAATCCCCCACCAGATCCCAAAGGCACACAAAATTTTTCTTTGGTTTCAAAACATTGTTTTATATACGGTACTGTTGAGGGAGTCCTGGACTAAGGGGTCCTCGGGCGTCCGACCTATTGATATGGGCCGGACTGATGGGCCGTGAAGATACGAAGACCGAAGACTTTACCCATGTCCGGATGGGACTCTCCTTGGCGTGGAAGGCAAGCTTGGCGACCAAATATGAATATTCCTTTCTCTGTAACCGACCTTGTGTAAACCCTAGGTCCCTCCTGTGTCTATATAAACCGGAGGGCTAGGTCCGTAGATAGATCTCATAATCATAGCCAGGCTAGACTTTTAGGGTTTAGCCATTACGATCTCGTGGTAGATCAACTCTTGTAATACTCATATTCATCAAGATCAATCAAGCAGGAAGTAGGGTATTACCTCCATAGAGAGGGCCCGAACCTGGATAAACATTGTGTCCCTTGTCTCCTGTTACCATCAATCCTAGACGCACAATTCGGGACCCTAATACGTCTCCAACGTATCTATAATTTTTTATTGTTCCATGCTATATTATATTCTGTTTTGGACATTATTGGGCTTTATTATACACTTTTATATTATTTTTGGGACTAACCTATTAACCGGAGGCCCAGCCCAGAATTGCTATTTTTTTTTGCCTATTTTAGGTTTCACAGAAAAAGAATATCAAACAGAGTCCAAACGGAATGAAATTTTCGGGAACATGATTTTCGGAACGAACATGATACAGAGGACTTGGACCCTACATCAAGCAATAAATGAGGAAGGCACGAGGTAGGGGGGCACGCCTCCCCCCCAGGCGCGCCCTCCACCCTCGTGGGCCCCCTGTTGCTCCATGTAGCGACCAGACCTCAAACGGTCCAATCTCTGTGCTCAGGCGTCATCCCTGGATCAGTCATGCTGACACCACACAGTACTTGAAGGATTTATAACAGAGTAGCAATCACACACTTATTACATCGAGTATCTCCAAAGAAAACTTATTACAATAAATATGGCATAAGGCCATCTAATAATGATAACAGCGGAAGGCTTGAAAGATAAATGAGTCCATCAACTCCAACGGCATCACTGAGTATAGAACCACGACCTAAAAGGCACCTTACTCGTCGTCTGGAAAGTCTACAACATGGACGTTGCAACCCGAAACGGGTCAGCACATGGAATATGTTGGCAAGGTAACACATAGAGAGCAATAAAAGAATAATGCTATGCTATATGCATATTTGGCTGGTGGAAAGCTCTATGGTTACAGTTTTGCGTAAAGCCAATTTTTCCCTACTGCAAAGGAATAAATTTTATTTAACTATCATGGTAGTTGTTAAACATTGAGAATGGTTGACAGCATTCTCAAACCCAATTAAGCATCATCATTAAAAACCCAACAAATTAATTAGAGTAGTATGATGAGATTCACATGATAATCCAAATACCAGATACTCAAGTTGTCCATAACCGGGGACACGGCTAATCATGATTAGTTTATACACTCTGCAGAGGTTTGCGCACTTTTCCCCACAAGACTCGATCTCCTCCGTTGGGATTCTCGCACTACATGGTGTTTGAGAAACGGATGACCGAGACATAGTCTTTCAGAAGTGCTAGCACCTTACGATGGGTAGACCGTACCACCTACATCCCCTACATCTGCTAGTCTACCACTGTAAGAGTTTGCACAACTTAGTCAACTATGCTAGAGCCCATAATAGCTTGTGGCTGCACACGGAAGTTTCTAGCATGAATAATCTCATGATCCCTTTGAGCCTGGGTGGCGGTCCAAAGAAAAGCAGGCAATCGCTGGAATACCCAGGTGCCTCAGTCCACCCAGATGTATATTTAAGTTGCCACCTTAGATAAACCATTAATTTAACATTCACATCTGTCACGGATTTCACTCACCCAATCCACGTCTACTAGCATAGCATGGCATAAGAAGCAAACATAGAAGTAACTCCCAAAGGTTTGATAGTAAACAGGTAATAGGTACTACCTCATCTACTTCCCAGAACCCACAATTTAATTAGATCCTAAACATGCAATGTGTGAGGATTGATCTAATGCAATAAAACTGGGTAATAGGAAGTATGATCAAAGTGTCACTTGCCTTGCTGATGATCCGCAAAACCTAGCGATTCGAAGTAGCAAGCGGCGCACTCCGGGTACTCTATCGCAAACAAACAAGCATACAATAAGCACTCAATTAATGCATAGGTAAAACTCAAATAAGATATCTAACCAAAAAGTTCAACTTAAGAACTCCGGTTGGCAAAAGAATGCAAATCGAACGAAGCAACGAAAGACAAACGGCAAAAGAAAAAGGCTTCGTTTACTATTCTGGATCTAGGGCAATTTTTACTGAGGCAAAAACTTGTTTGAGTTGGTTAAACGGAAAGAGGGTTTCGAGACGA